CAAATCGTACAGGAAGTCTGCCATTTTTAAAAAATCCAGCCATTTTGAAAAAAAAACATCACCGTGCACTTTAACTACTTCTAGTCAAAGTTTCTGATTCAGCTCAATTTTGGTGAGTTTATACAGAAGGGACATGGGGACAAAAAGCTAGCAAAAGCGCAGCAGTACATCACATGGTCTCCAGGTGGCGCCCCCGAAACGATGGGCAGCATTGTGACTGCGCTCTAAAACTGAGCTCTACAGCGCCCCTTGAATATACCAAAATCATCGTTTCAGCTGTTTTGACCCCCTGAACATGTTATAAACCCATCCACATTTTGCCCAAAGGTCATGCTCATTAATAATGGACAGCTCTGCAGCGCCCCCTTGAATGCAAAAAAGCTCATCTCGCATTTTAACAAACTTCTACTAGGAAATTGCCAAATCGAGCTGAAAATTGACTCTTAAGGCATAAGGGACCAAAGTTATCAAAAACGCAGAAGTTCTTCACGCGGTCTTGCTGTGGCGCCATTAGGAATTTGACCCTTGTCTAAGGTATGGGGATAAATGTACTTGTTACTGTACCTCTCACACACTTCATCCAAATAATGTGAAAAATGTATGGAATGCTGAGCTTTCCCCTCAGACCAAATCGATATGCTTATGTGATGATAAGTCACAGCGCCTCCTGCTGGCTGTATGAATAGCAAGGGAATAACTCACTGATAACCGATCTCAAAGTGTTAAAGCAAGCTGTATGTCACTCAAAATGAGTGACAGCAAAATCAGCCATTCACGCGTTGGTTTGTCTCCCAGCAAAGAATAGATGAACCTAAATCGACTGAGGGAAGGAAATTTCAGCTCAAGAGACTGTTTGAGGTGGTGAATATAAATCAAGAGAGCGGGGCAGCTCTTTGCCAGCATCAGTGTCCACATCACTCGCAGTTTGGGCAGTAGAAACCGAAAGGGACATGTAGTGCGTTTACAAAAGGTGCAGGGGCACGTCTGCTCCCAGACTACTCATCGCTGGGAGAACCATTCTTCTTGTCCTTATCTCAGACAAAATCAAAATAATGTGCATACGTCCATTTCGGGAATGTTCAGCCTTATATTCAAAGTTTACACATACATTCAACAAACCACGAAAAGGAATAGACGCCTCACAGCTCCTCAACTTGTAGCTTCATTACATAGTAGCTGGAAAACTCCAGCGTCAACATCTACAGTGAAGAGGAGACTCTGTGATGCTGGCCTTCAGGACGTTGAGTGACAAGGACAAAGCCGTATCTGAGACCGGCCAATAAATATGGCAAAAGACAACAAAATTGTCTTGAAGACCCCAAACTTTTGATTGGTAGTGTATACTTTAACAGCTCTCATAAACTAAACTCTTATGCAACCTGAGTTTGAATCATGAGTGAGTGGAAAAAAGCCCAGCGATGTGACTCGCCTCTCGTCCTGTCGATACTATTCTGATGATAAATGAAAATATGCCAAAACAAAAAGGAAAAAAGTTCAATAAAATGTTTAAAAGGCTTTTAGTTTTAGCAGCACAATTTTGGCCCTGATTTTGAGTCGCAGATAATCGCATTCTGTTTCCCCTAAAAAATGAGCAAATATTTATTTAAGGACATAAACTTGTTCAAATGCATGAAACATCCTCGTTTTAAGACAATTCCCCTAGTGTTAAGACCACTCGTGACTAGAAACCCGTTCAAATAACTGTTGCGATGCAGTTTTACTTCCAAAACAGCGTAAAACCATCGAGAGAGTTTTGCCCATTTTGAAAAATCTTGGCAAGTTGAATTTTCTGAACTGGATTTGACCTCTATGCAGTGCGGAGTAATCCACTGTTCCCTCGGTGGAGTGGAGGAAAGGTGAGCTGTACCTGCAGGCTTAAGGGCAGCTCATGGATGCGTGTTGCCAGCGTGCGGATCTCACGGTCAGACAGCACTCCCGAGTGATCCGTGTCGATCTCATCGAACACTTCAGACACATTGAGCTGCTGCACGGCGCTCATCAGGAAGTAGAAATAGGAAAAGGCAAACTGCATGTCCTCGGAATGACGCACGCGGTGAGAAGACGTCTTATCAAACTCCTGAGGAAAACTAAAAGAGAACGCAATAGAAATAAAATACAGATTTTTTGTGTTTATTTGCATTCTGTTTAGGAGGAAAAAGATTTGAATATAATAATAGACATTTACAGATGATGTTAATGGTAAAGCATCATTGAGAGTGAGCCAGGGGAGGCTATGGATCTGTTCATGTTACATGTTGTAAAACATTTTTCCCCTCACAAAATGCTATAAATGCATTGAATCCATGATTTATTTGTAAAAAATACGTAAAATTGATGATTTATATTTGGCGAGTCTCAAACTTGCACACCATGAACTACAGATGTACTTCAGATCAGAAGTTCACACACCCCAGCTCCCTCCTTTAACATCAATGGCAGCCTGAAGTCTCTTGAGGTAGTTGTGGGTGAGGTTTTTTATCTTCTCTGTTGGTAAAGCGGCACATTTTTCCCGGTGGGGGTGGTGCTCGGTTCATCAAAGGTCTTGTTGACTCCTCTCGAAATGTAAAGCTTTTAATTGTGCCAAAAAGTTTGGTCTCATCGCTCCAAATAACTTTGGAGCTTGTCTCTTTTGTTTTCCTCATCGCTGAGAATTCAGAAATGTCGGCGCATCACTGGATGTAAGAGGCGAGGGACGATCAGGAGCCAGAAACTCAGAAACTTCTTTTGCTCAAACATTGAATCCAAACAAACAGGTCGAGGTTACGATGGTTATCTTCACCAGCCGCTCAAACCCTTCTGTGTCAGTGATGGTGCTCAGCATCCACCAGGGCGTGTAAACTTGTGGTCAGTTGTTTAACAATAAACGGCTTCACTCAACCACTAACTGTGAGGGCGGAATGCTTTTGTGTTATCATTGCTATTTCCTGAAATCAGAATATTTGTGAGCACAACTGGATTAAAAAGGTTATTTACATGAAGCTTGTTTTTTCTACAAATTTGGTGTTTATGGTGCTTTGGAACTGTTCAAATATTGCACATAGAATGACTTTTATTAGTAATTCAATAGTCCTTCACAGATATTACACAAATCATAAAAGAAAAACCGTCTTACGTGTCCTGTAGTTCCTGCATGATGAGTCTGTCGATCATGTGGGGCATGTGTGCTGGCACTTTACGGGAAGTGAAGCCAAACTGAGCATTAAGCAGTCGGTTAACGTATCGCAGGGAATCTGCAAACGTGTCCTGCAGGCGGCGAGCCGTGGCTGAGCCGTCAGCGATGTACAGCAGCTCTGTCTGGAGAAGCTTCAGTTCCTGTTAAACACATCACACAAGGGGAGTAAACAAAATCTCACGTTCAAACTACATTACGAGCTGCTTTTGACACCACCGATCGCTCAATTTTACCTAAGCGACATCTGAGATCTGTTCTCACTGGTGTCCCTCAGGGCTCTGTTCTGGGACCTCTATTTTTTATCATCTACTTTCTCCATTCCCTTGGTCTTAATTATCACTTTTATGCCGACGACACTCAGATTTATGTTCACTCACAACCTGGAAAATATTTCATTTAGACTGTGTTTCTGTTCTCCTTTGCTTGAACACTGGCAAGACTGAAGTCGTGCAGATCCACCTACGAACTGTAGCTAGACTATGTCCTCTGCTGCTGAAAGAATAATTAACGCATTTGTCGCGTCCTGCCTGGATTACTGTAATGCTCTCCTGGCTGGGGTTTCAAGATCTACTCTGGACAGGCTGCAGTATCTTCAGAATTCTGCTGCTCGTGACCAGAGCATGTGAACACATCACACCTGTTCTTAAATCACTGTACTGGCTCCCGGTCTGCTTCTGTGTGGATTTTAAAATTTTAACCCTCACTTATAAAGGTCTGGCTCCTGAATACTTATCTTCTCTTTTAAGCACTTACATCCCGAGTCGTACGCTCCGCTCCTCACAGTCTAAGCTTCTGTCTGTACCTCGCACTAAAACTGTGAGAAACGGGGCTTTCTCTGTCTATGCGCTGTCACTGCGGAACTCTCTCCTTGCTGAGCTCAGCGATGCACAAAGTTACACCATGTTTCTCATCTGATCTTTAAGCTAATTTAAAAAAAATGGCTAATGACTGTTGACATTTTATTGTTTTCGATGCTTTTTATCCATGGCTTTTTTCACCCATTGAATTCGATTCCCCTGTCTGACAAAATGTATCCGTTTTTATCTGTTTTATTAATTTGAACTGTTTTTCATGTATTTTTGCTCATTTGTTTTACTTGTGTTCTCTGTACAGCGCTTTGAGAAGCCAGCTTTAAAAAAGGCACTTCATAAAAGTTTACTATTATTATTATTATTATTAATTATTAACGAACACAGCAAAAAACGAAAATCTAAGAAAAGGTGAAAAATCTTGATTTTCTAATTTTAAGAAGATATATCTAGTTTTTAGGGTATACATTATTTAAATTATTATGAGAAAATCTGGTCCTAAAAAAAGCTTATTCTGATCATTTATTTGCTTGAATTAAAAACTTTGCTAAAAACTAGATTCTTAAAACAAGACAAGAGGTGGGACCAAGCCACTACTTTAGAATAGGGCTAATTAACTCACAATTTTAGCTTGATTACGATTATTATTTTATTATAATTATTATTTTTGCTCTCATAGTTCACAGAGAAGTTTTTACAGTTTAATCAATAAATGAACAACTGAAATTAAAGCACACACTGCCTAAAACAAGCATTCGCAGAGCGGGGTCATGTGACTCCACACGTACGTGGTCCTATGGTTTTAAATGGAAAGTATTCAAAATAATCAAGCTGGAAAATTGTTAACGATTACTTTTAGATGAATTGCCCAGCACTACTTTAGAAGTCAAGTAGTCCCAAGTCAAAACTGGGCAAGCTACATTTTTATTACTTATTACATTTTTATTACTTATTGTATTATTACTTACATTGACTTGAAATAAATGTAACCAAAAAAAAAAATGTAATAACAGATAGCTTCCCAGCGGCTCAGTCAGTAGAGAATTGTGCTAACAACAAAGGTCCTGGGTTCAAACCCCAGAGGACAGAAAGAACCGAGGAAATGTGTTCATTCCTTGAAACATTTGGATAAAAACAAATGTGTAAATGTTTGTTAAGACTAAAATGCCTAAAACCTAAGCATAAATCTCAGAGAAAATATTCATGACTCACTGTTTGTACAGCCATTAAATCAAAGCATTTAACCTGAAAGTGCATGAAAACCTTTTCCTTGCAAAACCTGATGAGGCCAGATTCATGGTTCACAACAAATTTCGCTTCAAGATGGAATTGTGTCACTTGAAACACAATACTTTTCAGCAGCTTGCTTCCAAGCAGGCTACTCTGGTATTCTTGAACTTCTTTTAAACAACACAACATGTGCATGAATCCCAGAGCGTGTTGCACACTCCGTGTAAATTATCAGGATCGGACGCCATTTAATTGCTCCCTGTACATATTTTTAATCTCTTTTGGCTGATTACACGGCACTTTTGGAAATCCTAAGAGAAATGAAATAAGTTACAAAGACCATATTTAGCACAAAGTGAGGGATTAAGGGTCTTTTGTACAAGTGTTGTGATAACTGTGAAAACTGATAATGTTTGTGATTCATATCTCGATACTCTCCCCGATTAGATCACCATGAAAAACTACATGACATGGCTGAAGTGAATCCAGAAAAATGAAAGAATTCTTTAAACCATTGAAATGAAGGGTTTGTTTTTATGTTTTTCAGTGACCTTTTCTGTTGTTTTGGGCCACCTTCTGCTCCTTCAATGCCAAAGCATCCACTGACTCCTCACTGCTGCTGATCAATCTAAAAACACGTGGCTACATATTTAATATCTATTAAACATTTATTTTTAAACAGCCCCTGCTTTCAACATACAACCGGATCCCCAAAAATATGGGACACTATACACATCATGAAAAAAAACTGAATGCAGTGATGTGGAGGTGACAACTTCTAATATTTTTTTCAGACAATGAACCATTTTATGGGAAAAATATGTTTCTTCAGAATTTCATGGTGTCAACAAATCCCAAAAAGTTGGGACAGGTAGCAATAAGAGGCTGGAAAAAGTAAATTTGAACTTAACCAGTTAACACTAATAGGTCAATTGGCAACATGACTGAGAATAAAATGAGCTTCTCATAGTGACCGTGTCTTTCAGACGTCAAGACGGGTAGAGGATCACCAACTCCCACAATGTTACGCAGGAAGATAGTGGAGCAATATCAGAAAGGTGTTACCCAGAGAAAAATTGACTTTGTATCTATCATCAACTGTGCATATCATCTGAATCTGGAAAAATCTCTGTGCGTAAGGGTCAAGGGGTTGCATGAGAGCGTGTGGCATGGGCAGCTTGCATGTCCGGAAAGGCTCCATCAATGCAGAAAAATATTTTCAGGTTCTAGAACAACATGTGCTCCCATCCAGACGTCATCTCTTTCAGGGAACACCCCGCATTTTTCAACAAGATAATGCCACACCACATTCTGTACCAATCACAACATCATGGCTGCGTAGGGGAAGGATCCGGGTACTGAAATGGCCAGTCTGCACGTCTTTCACCATTTGGCGCATCATAAAGAGGAGGGTGCGACAAAGAAGGCCCAAGACGATTGAACAGCTAGAGGCCTGTGTTAGACAAGAATGGGAGAGAAACTGGTCTCCCCTGTCCCCAGACGTCTGTTGTGCGTTGAAAGAAGAAGAGGAGATGCCACACAGTGGGGAAAATGACCTCATCCCAACTTTTTGGGGATTTGTAAATTGTAAATTTTCTCAGTTTAAACGTTTGTTCCCTGATTTATCTTCTATTCTGAATAATATATTACAAGTTGTTACCTCCTTCAGTTTTTATTCACGATTTGTATAGTGTCCCAACTTTCTTGGAATCCAGTTTGTACAAATAACTCAAGAAAATGACAAAATATAAACAAACAAAACTTTGTTAAGAATTTAGTGGAAAATATTTTGCAAATAAAGCACCATTTAGATCCAATGAGTCCAAGAGAACAAAATCATCACTTCCTGATAAACTTTAGCCACATATCAAAAGAAAATTTGAAGTTTCTGCGTTAAGAGAAGTCTTTTTTTGTATTTAATGACTTTCTTGCGTCTCACGTCGATGAAGCACAATATATGCACAGTCATGTCATTTTGCTTTTGTGGACCGGAGACTGCACAGTTCTGGGAGCCGATGATCCCGAACCACTTTGGGGACAGACTTTAGGAATTTTAGAACGACCAAAACAGCATTTCAGATGTTGCGTGCGCCATGAAATCTTTCCATTGGTTCTGGCCTTTTTTCCTCATCGGATGAAAAAAAAATGTATCCTACTTTTAAAATTTATGCAAATCTTGCCATTACCATCCAACTCAAATATAATTTGTAACTTTATAAAATAATGTGTAACTTACAGTTTGTTTTTTTTTGAAATTGTGCCTTTTATTAAACACAGAAACGCATGGGTTTATTGGGACAGCCAATCAGGCTGGAGAAATACTGCCAGCAACCAATAGATATATCAATATCTAAAAGAAGCTTGGTTTATTTGGCTGTTTGCGCGTGGTATCTCTCTTTAAAGCTTCGACGAGTTTCTCAATTTGTGTAACAGTGGAACTCCTTCAGTGGTACCAGTCTGAGAAGATATAGCAACTCGAGTCAGAACACCTTGGAGGTCCGTGCAAAGTTTGGTGGTTGTAGATCGAACGGTCTAGGAAATCTTTCTATAACAATGTGTTGACGAGCCAACATTACAAGTGAAGACCACCTCACCTCCAGCAGATCCTCGAACAAGTTGGTCTTCTCCCAGGGAAGGAATCCCTGGTGCGGGACACAGCTCCTAGAGTACTGCTGGAGTCTGCGGCCCACCAGCGGCCCTCGCTCGGACTCTCCCTCCTTAGACATGTTCCCCATGAGGTTAGTGAGGAGCTTAGACACATGAGACTGAGCTCTGGGTGGAACACCATCGATGCGAAGTGGAACCAGAGAAGGAGAAGCTGCTTGAAGCTCCACTCTGGATCTGTTGCTCATCTCGGCTTCTTCGGCAACCTTTTCAGCCAGATTCTGAGTGACAACAGCCTTCATCTCTTTGTCCTGGTGCTTTACTTCTGTTTTATTCAGAATGAACCGGACATCATCTTTGTACGGCTCCAGCAGCCATGCTTTGGTCAGGTTAAAGCCTTTTACAGTGATGTCACCCATAGCTAATTTATCATTTATCCTCTGCAACTCCATCTTCACATCATCGGGCAGAAGGGACTCGTTTACTTCAGGCACATGTATGGCCTCCACATCTCCATGGGGTTTCTCTTGGACCCTAGGGCCTAGTTTATCTATAGGGACGTTCTCAAAAGCTACGTCTAGCTCTGGACTAACAGTGCTCAGTGTGGGTTCCAGACCCTTCTCCGGAGCCAGGGTGGAGGTGTTTGTTTTGGGCAGCTCTCGGGTGTCCACGGCCACAGAGAAGCACATGGTGAAGTCCTGGTTGTCTGAGTTCTGAAAGGTGATGTTATAGTGGATCCGAGTGGCATTGTGTCCCGGCAGCAGCAGCAAGTGGATGCTTTTCCACTTGTTGGCGACAGAAGAGTGGCGCAGAGCTGGATTTTCAGCCACTTGAGCCTCAGACACACGTTTGGCCAGGCCTGAAAAGCTGAAGTAGGGTCGCAGCTCTCCCGGAGGAAGCGTGTAAAGCGTCTGGTTCCTCTGGAGGAGCACACGGTGCAGCTGGCCAAAGTTATCTAGGAAATAACATAAAATACATAAAATACAATACATTGGACTTCCTCATCAACGCTATCAATTATTGTTCATTCTTCAAGAGATCCAAACAAACATGATTTTATTGTGCCTCCATTGTGCCAACCGTAAAATCAACAACAAAGCAGAACAAAGTACGGTATATATGACGGAAGAAAGGTGAATAAATAATGTTCGATTAAATTAAAGTATGGCTCTACTAATCACAACTAAAGGTGCCGTATCAAGCCATCGCAAAGCATTTATAATAGATATATGAGCCCTCGCTGCACTTTTAGTAACTAATTTCAATATTAATCGTAAAAAAACGATTTAAAATCACCTTGTAATCCTGGCCTCCGCCAAGCACACCATTTACCCTCGTTCCTCCCACAGTACGCTGCTGACCAACTACTGATAAATTCATTTAATTCACAAATAAATTCCTTCTTTGGTAATCCAAAAACACGCTTTCCAAGCATTGCCACTTTAGCTAATGCAGCGGATTACAGATAGTCTCACTGAGCGGTAATTCACTAAATTACCTCTTGGAAAACTCATAGAATAAATATATTAAATATAGTAAAATAAACACAGGGGAAAATACACAAATATTTAAATCTCTTTTAAAACCCTTAATCAGACAATTAGCGAAACAAAGTCACAGGCTGTAATGTTTCACAAAGATCACAGTTCAATACTTTTCCAAAACAAAAAAAGAAATACATGAGTTTCCTTGATTTTTTCTCTTAGAAAAATCTTAAAGGTGTGGTCTTTGTGTTTCCCTTTTACATTGAACAATGATGGAGGTATGTCTTCAGGGGTTATTACTTCAAACTAATCAAACTAAACATCCTTCCTTGAAACCTAAACGTTGATTTAAAGAAATCAAATGTACTATTTATGTATAAAGAGCCCATGTTTTTTTTTTTAAATCAAACTTGGCTCCACTCAATTTGAGCTTTTAGCACCACAACAGCGACGATATTGTCACCGTTTTGCCCACTGCAATTCTATTAGCATCATCATCACTTTATGAGGAAAACATTATCTGCTTATGCGAGGTTTGAACAATATTTCAGCAGAATAAAGATTCTCACCCCTCAGTCGTGAAGAAAAAGATGCTCCTCACACAAATACACACACAAGTACTCCTGATCCTGATGTGTGACACGCCTTTTTTAAACCTCTTCAGCCCGAGAGTCCCCTTGTGCGTTACATTTTCGTGCATAGCTCACTAACCCAGGGAATAATCCACACATATTAAATACTGTTGTGCTCAGCGGAAACTCCTCTAAT